TAGTCGGAGTCAAACCCCGACAGTCCCCGCACTGAGCCAGAGGACGCACTGATGCGGGCAGTGCGTGGGGCCGTGCTGTTGGCCTGGGAGCTGTTAGAGCTACCCAGCAGGAAAGACAGAGGGCGTATCGTTCTGGGATCTGCCTGGCAGAGGTCTGGCTTTCAGTTTGGAAATGACATCTGTGAACCCCATCTGGAAACTCAGCGCCAGCCCCCTCTCATTCTCACGAGAAACAGTGGAGGTAATCTTCCACCACCCAAAACTGTCTGTGCGGGAAGAGCACTTGGCTGTCGGTGCATGTCCTGGCTCAGACAGAGGCACTGCCTGTGGGTGGTGGCAGAGCCTCCAAGGATCTGCGTAACACCAGCTTGGCGGGGAAGCAAGCGCCTTGCTGCCCACCGCCCTGGGGGGCCTGGCTGGCACAAACACCACGTAAGATGTCGTTTCAGGCTGGCTGTTCTTGCGGGGGGCCACGCGTGTGCCGTCACAGTGAGCTGACTCAGAAGTTGTGTTGGTTTGTACGCTGTCGGATTTGATTGTAGGCTGTTTTTTTGGTTGGGTGGTTTGGCATCCGCCTTTTGAGATCTCCTGGTCCTCGCCTGGAGGAGAGGCAGGGCCGGCTGCAGAGGCGTAGCCAGTAAAAGCACCGGTGCACGTCTTGGTTGGCACTCGTGGTTGTGCCGCTCAGAGCGCGCTCTGCCCGCGGACTTGCTTGAAGGTCCCGCGTATGTGCTTTAAGGCCAACAGGCGCCTTCGCTGGCAGGTGTAGTGCTAGACACTACACTAGCGTGCCCAGAATCGCTTTATCCCTCTAGTGGAAAAGTAAGTGTGCTTGGGCTTTTTTTCGTTCTTAGCCTTACTTTTTTGTTATTTTATTTGAGGCTAAACCTTGATTAAATTCCTGCTTACCTTAAAACTGCTAATATTCTGGGAGGGGACTGGGGAGTTAAGTGGCTGAAGTTTAGTTTGTTTGACTTACGTGTATGAAGTAAACGATCCTTAACAGCGACTCTTATACTGTTGATTACAGGAACGTAGAGAAGTTGCCAGACAGTTGTTTTTATTTTGCATTTCCTTGACTATTAGATGGGAAACTAGCCCCTAAGATGGATGTGGCCATCACGAGTAAGTATATAAAGTATTCATTGTTTGGGTCATTGAGGAGCTGTGTGGCTCATCTTTGGTGTGATTACGCAACCTTGATTTAATCCATGTCCACTGAACTGTGTAACGACTAAAGAAAACCTTCTGAAGAGCCAGGCAGCCGCTGTGTTTCCGTTCACGTTGTGTCTTCTCTCTCCTCCTTATGCCTGACTCCTTGTTCTCCGCCTGTTACAGCGTGCTGTCTGCAAACTAAACCGACCTAACGGCTCTCCTCTTGCCTTCTCCCCCTTTGCCTAACAGCGGAAGGCTATGCTGCATTTCAGGAGGACAGTTCCGGTGACGAAGCTGAAAGCCCTTCAAAGTTGAAGCGGTCCAAGGGAATACATGTCTTCAAGAAACCCAGCTTTTCCAAAAAAAAGGAAAAGGATTTTAAAATAAAAGAGAAACCCAAAGATGAAAAACACAAGGAAGAGAAGCATAAGGAAGAGAAGCATAAGGAGAAGAAGTCAAAAGACTTAACGGCAGCAGATGTTGTAAAACAGTGGAAAGAGAAGAAGAAAAAGAAAAAGCCAATTCAGGAGACAGAGATACCTCAAGTGGATGTTCCAAGTCATAGGCCCGTGTTTGGCGTTCCCTTGGCCGACGCGGTGGACAGGACCATGATGTACGATGGCATCCGCCTGCCAGCAGTTTTCCGTGAATGTATAGATTACGTAGAGAAGTATGGCATGAAATGCGAAGGCATCTACAGAGTTTCAGGTACTCTGGGCACACCGACGTGCAGGTTCCTAAGGTCTTTACTTGCAGTTCGCTTAGTATTTCCCATTTTCGACACCTAGAGACCCCCTTTGCAGCTGCGCTCGTTTTAAAGGTAACGGGGTAGCCGCAGTTCAGGTGTGAAACCCCAGCAGGGCCGCTGCCGCGCGGCAGTGAAAAGTCTCGTGGCTTGGCCTTTTGTCGTAAGTCGGTAACTGTGGGTAAAAGGCGTTAGCAGGGCCCGCTTGTAACGTTTCACTTCTGCCCGAGACATGCACAACGGCCAAGATGAAAAATAACCATTTCATGACCTAAGCTTCCCACTGAGTTGCTTTTTCCAGTTGCTTCCATTGCTATAACTTTTTTTTCCCCTGTGAAAAACTTCCTTTCTCTGAGCAAATACACTAATAAGGAGAAAATCCAAGTTTCGCTACTTGGGCTGAGGAAAGCAGCCAGCTAATCAGCCCTGGTTGTTGCGTAACACCAGCTTACACAAACGTTACATGGCCCCTGGGTTTGTGAACTGCCTCCGCGCCGTAGCTCCTGTCATGCTGCGGGTACGTTTAGAGGAGCAAGGACAGGTGAGACAAGGGATTTGCAGAAAAGCATTTGCAGACGAGCTGCCAAGCGCTGTAAGACGGGAATCAGAGCGGTTTCCCAGGCTTTGTTAAGCTGCCTTCATGCGGCGGCACCTGGCAGGCAGGCAGAAATACCACAGCAGCTCAGCAGTTTTGCCAGCTTGCCTCTCGGAAGCTGGTTGCGTGTTTTCAGGAGACGGTGTGTTGGGAATTTTCACGGAGGGAGGTGTGTTTTCTGTAAAGCCTATTCCATGTTGGTGCTTTGTAGGTGTTCTCCAGCACAGTAGCACCCTCTTGTGTGTGTAGGGTTGTTAAAGTTGAGAGAGCTCAGAGAGGATTGCAGTGTTTTAACACCCCGACAGCCCCTTGTGAGGAGATTCCTCCACGGAGGAGTGGCCCGCTGGAAATCTGGGAACTAAGAAGTGTGGGGTTTGGGTTCGGCAGAGGAAAGCTGTTGTAGGCAGAACTCGTTGCGCGACGCTTGAGTTGATGACGTTACTTGCTGCTGGGCTTAGGGCTGCATCCTGGACGCTGAGTGCAAACACGCGGTCGGCCGCCTTGTTCCCCTGCCCCTCCTCGCCCTGCTTCATGCTCCGCCGTGCAAGGGAACGCTGGTGCCGGTTCCCACGCAAGAGCTTCGGCGGTGCCGTGGTTTCGCTTCGCAGTAGGAGTCGGTGCTTTTAGCAGCAGCCATCACCTGATTTTTGAGTCGGGACCTGAGCTTTGTTACACGTGGGTAACCTCCTAGCTTAGGTTGTAAGGAGAGGCGAAATGAACGCGTCTCAGAAACCAAAAAAGTAGAAAATTGTAACTATTACGCGTTTACGGTTGAAGATTTCTCTTAATTCTTGATCTAAATATTTTAAGGAATAAAATCAAAAGTTGATGAGCTAAAAGCAGCCTATGACCGAGAAGAATCTCCCAACCTGGAAGAATACGAGCCAAATACAGTAGCCAGCTTGCTGAAACAGTACCTGCGAGAACTGCCAGAAAACTTGCTTACCAAAGAGCTCACGCCCCGCTTCGAAGACGCTTGCGGAAAGAGCACGGAGGCTGAGAAAGTTCAGGAGTGCCAGAGGTTGCTGAAAGAGTTGCCGGAGTGTAACCACCTCCTCATTTCTTGGCTGGTTGTGCACATGGACCACGTTATCGCGAAGGAGCTGGAAACAAAAATGAACATCCAGAATATCTCCATAGTGCTCAGCCCTACTGTCCAGGTACGTGTGCCGCAGGGCGGGATCTCGGCCCAAGGCAGGCTCGTCGTAGGAGCTCTCCTGCCGGTGGGAGGGGTATTGTCCCGTACAATTGAGCTAAATGACAGCTTCTCCTTATACCCCAGGAACCTAAAATGCTGGGAAAGTGGGAGCTGCCACACTGTGGGCCTCGGGCTTGGGTTGTTGTGAGACTGCAACAAAGATTGCTGTTGGGGGTTTCATTCTGTCACGAACAGAATTAATTCAGCATTGAATTCGTCCAGTAATCCCTGCAGATACCCAGCGTCTGGGGCTTCTGATTCAGTGAAAGTCTAGTGAAGACTCTGTCGCTGCTTCATTTTAATGGGCTCTGTCCTGCAAATGGATCTTCCTGGCAGGAGCGCGGACTCCGGTATAATGGCTTTGGTGTCTGCAGTTGGGGAAAACCAACTGACTTGGTTTTCCAGCGAGATTCTGTGGTTTCTGGATTGATTAATTCCTTAATAAGCATCTTGGAAATACTTAATTTAAGCACAGCTCAGAATTGGCTGGGTGCGTACCGGAAAGGCGGCGTTACGGGGCGTGGGTCTCGCAGAAGAAAAGCCTGGCTTTATAATGAAGTGCCAAGGCCCAGTAGGAAAAGGGCCGGGTATTGTTCTTGGCTCTGCTGCGCCGGCCACTTCCCAGCAAATAACAGAAGTAACGATCAGTGTAAAAGGGTGCAGGCCCGATGGGGGTCTGTTCTTATGTAGATTTTAAAGTGCAGGCAGTGACAGAACTCCAACCTTTCAGGGTTGATTTTTGAATTCTAATGGAAGGTGGAGTATCAGAATCAGCATTTACTTCCATCTCTTGTTGAAACGAGGAAAAATACAGCAGCAGACCCGTTCAAACTACTTTTTCTGCCGATTAAATCTTATCTGCTGCATCAAGTGCCTCAGAGACACGGGTGAAAGAGAGGGCCAAGTGATTCCGCAGGGGCAGCAGTGGGTGGTTGAAGTGGCGTTTCTAATGGGGATGTTCATCCCCGTGGGGACGGGCAGAAAGGCATTCTGAAGGCTGCTCTGTAAAGGTGACGTGAACAGATTTGCCTCAGCAGCCTTCTGTCAAATCTGTGTACAGATTTGCCTCAGCAGCCTTCTGTCTGCCCTGCCCTCTCTTTGCAGATCAGCAACCGTGTCCTGTACGTGTTTTTTACGCACGTCCAAGAGTTCTTTGGGAATGTGACCCTCAAGCCGGTGACAAAACCTCTCCGCTGGTCAAACATGGCGACGATGCCAGCACTTCCAGAAACGCAAGAAAGCATCAAAGAAGAAATCAGGCGACAGGTTGGCAATTCCTTCACTGTCTGTCTTTGCCCTGGCTTTCGTGCGGGCAGCAGCGTGTTCTCCTAAGCTGCTGACAGCTCGTTCAGTACTTGGACGGTGGGAGGAAGGTTTGGAACACATTCCAACCCAAACCCTTCTCTGATGCTGGTTTTGTAAACGCAGGTGGCTCTATGTCACGGGCTGAGCATACGTTACGTGTCAAGCTTTGGCAGCCAGAACGGTTTTTCTCCTCGGTCTGCTCTGCTGTGATCAATTCGAGGCACTAATTTCTTTGGCATTATTTCCAGGAGTTCCTACTGAACTGTTTACACAGAGACTTGCAGGCAGGGATAAAAGACTTATCCAAAGAAGAGAGACTCTGGGAGGTGCAAAGAATTTTAACAGCTCTGAAGAGGAAACTAAGAGAAGCAAAGAGACAGGTAGGTAACTTGTGTATTTATTGGCCAAACATCCAAATCACAGATGAAACTTACCTGGGGTATTTGTAACTGTGCCAGTTCTTCCTGAAGTTTCATGACTGTCAGTGATTCGTTTCCTGGGGAGAGTCGTTCAGCCCCATCGTTTAATCTTCCCATTGAAAACACCATCCATGAGAGAGGGCTCCATGGCCATGGAATTGGGGCTGTTCTTCGCCAGCGTGAACGCTGAGGATGTGACCAGCCTAGAGGGACGGTATTCCCTGGGTCACAGTTGGGGTTCAGAAGGGATGGGTGCCACCGAGGAGTTGCATCACAAGTTTCTTTCTGCGCACTCGGGTTTCATTCATCTCGGGGAGTTTTAGCTTGAAAAGGCTGAGGAGAAACAAGACAAGACTTTCTGGAATCGGCTCTGCATCACGTCTGATATCATCCTAAGTAACTCCAGTTACAGACCTTTGGAGTATGAGAACAGAAAGGCATTTTTAGGGAAAACTGGGCCACTCATGAGCTCATAGAGCTGTGTCACCTGGAAATGCCTGAGGAAACACACTCTTCTGTGTGCTCCCAAGACACAGATGGACAGGGAGAGAGGGGTGCGCGTATGCACGTACGGTGCTTCTGCGGGCTCAGTAGGAAAAGGATCCACTCCTTTTCGGAAGCGTAAGCGTAGTCTGCTACGCTTGTAGCCGGGATGTTGTTCCCTGGGTGGAACAGCTACCTGTATTCATACTGTTCATACCCCTTGGAACAACGTTCCCTAACTCCCAACAATGCACAGGCACCCACATAGATGCAACCACCTTTCAGCCCTTTCTACTGGAGACTTTTCCTCCAATACCTTCAGCAAGTTCTCTCTGACAGTAGGCAGTGACGGGGAAGGTGCCCTTTAAAGGTTCTCTTTCTCTGGCAGGAGTGCGAGACCAAGATTGCCCAGGAAATCGCGAGCCTTTCGAAGGAGGACGTCTCCAAAGAAGAGATGAATGAGAACGAAGAAGTCATCAACATTCTGCTTGCCCAGGTAGGTGGCAGGCATGTGCCTCTCGGTCTGCCGGCGCTTCCTTCTTCCCCCGCTTTCGGAAACACGAGACGCGTTGAACTTCCATTTGCTTTGAGGTCTTGATGGGTCGGCACCGGAAGCAGGCACACGAAGCACATCTGCCGGAAGCGTTTCCGAGACCGGCTTCGCCTCGCCGCGTCCTGGGGCACGCTTGGGGTGTGTATCTGCGGGACATAAATCAGGGCTTTAAGCGAACTGATTGATCCTTGCAGGAGAATGAGATTTTAACGGAACAAGAAGAACTGCTGGCCATGGAGCAGTTTCTGCGGAGACAGATTGCCTCAGAGAAGGAAGAAATAGATCGCCTTCGAGCAGAAATAGCGGAAATACAGAGGTAAGAGAGAGTGCGCCCGCTCTCGTGGGATCCCGTGCCAGGCCCGACTCCGGGACTAGAAGGACAGGC